TCGATCTTCTGGCCACGCCCCCCTTTCCTTCGTGTCGTTCTTTTGCCAAATGATACGTGGTCCTGGTTCCAGATCCCCATTTGTATATACATATACCCCCCTCCTTGTGTTCCCTTTTTGACCGCGTGTGGTTTCCTTTGTGCTGAATGGTGTACATTCTCTGTTTGAGTCAAATGCCCACTTACCCTCGTCATTCTGCGTTCTTTCATCCTTCTGTCGTCCTTTTGCCTGCCCCCTCTCCCCGTTCTTTCCTCCCTCCTATCGTCTTATGCCCTCGCCAGATGCTACACACCGTGCACTGCTCGCAAATGCCTTTTTTTTTTTTTTTTTTTTTTTGGCTCCCCTTTCTGCTTCCTTTCCTCCCTCCTCCCTATCCATTGACGATATGATTGGGCTTAGTGAACCTGGTTGGCGTAAGGACGGCCCACGTTCTCCCATCACCACCACCTAGAGTGCGTTGTGGTTTTGCTGACCACCCTTTCTACAGGTGCTGGCGGGGTCTCATGAATGATGAGCTGTGTGATAAGACGGGGGGGGGGGTTCGCTTTCGCTTTCTTTCTTGTCCATCATGTCGCTCCACTGTATGTTGGTATCGCCGTCTTTGAGGCGGCGTGTCGCCCGAATGGAGTGTGAACTGGGGGGCCAGAATCTGGCATAGATGCATTGTATGTTGGACTGGTCGATAGAGAGGGTCGTGAAGACGATGTCGTGCTGGCTGCGTATAGAGAGAGGCGAGGCGAGAGAGCGAGTGATGAATGACTAAGGGCGTCGCCGCACGGCACACGGAACGAAAAACGAAACGAATGTATCTTCCCCCAGAGAATGGGCAGGGTCATCGGTTTGCTATAAATATTAGCGAGTGTATTTTGCCACCTTTGGTGGGCAGATGCACTCGTTTCGTTTTCGTTTCGTGTGCCGTGCGGCGAGACCCTAGGAGAGTGTAAAAAGTGGAAACAAGAAAAAAAAAGTGGAAACAAGAAAGTAAGCGAATCCCAGAAAGTGAAAAAAGTGGAAACAAGAAAAAAAAGAAGAAGTGGAAACGGCTGTGGAACAGGACAGAAGAAAGAACAGCCCTGTTTGCCCCCGCAAGGATATGGCTAGGGGTTTTCGGTGGTGAGAGCGCATGGTCATTACAGGTGTATTTGGGGCAGGTTACAGTCTAGATTCGGCGACAATTACTGTGGGAAGGCTGTTGCCGTCAATGGCGGGGTGCAGGTCATCCGTCTCCGCCCTTATGTTTGGGTGCGGGCTGATTTTTGGGAATAGTACAGATGTATTTGGGACAGGTTGCAGTCTAGATACAGCGACAATTACTGTGGGGAGACGGTTGCCGTCTATGGCGGGATGCAGGGGCTACTGTAGGTCCCACTTGCACGAATTAAGAGATACTGACCGTAGATAGCAAAGATCAACGGCCGAAATCTCCTAATTTGCGCAAGTGGGACCTTGCCCCAGGTCGTCCTTCTCCTCCCTTTGTTGGGCCGCGCGCGATTCGACTCTATGGGAAGAGTGGTGGTCATCATAGAGGGCCTCGCTCCACGACTCGCCAAATGAGCAAAACGAGAATGAATCTTTCACTAGAACATGGAAAGATGCACCGCCATATTTTTTCGTCTTTTGTGCTTGTGCTCAGTAGTGGACCGAGGCCCATACTTGTCGAGAGACAAGGAAAGACACTAGAACTGTAATTGCACTGAGAATGGAACTCCGGAGGAGGAGCTACCCTGAAGAACTGTTTCGACAGGTGCTCAGAAATTTTGCGAGAGACAAGGAAAGAATCTGGAAGATGATTGCTGAGTTGATGTGTTGATGATGTGTGTAGGCTAGCTTGGGGTGGGATCTGTGGGACTTGACATTTGTGTGAGTAGACATGTGATAGGTGTGTGTGTAGATACGTAGGATTGGGGTGATGCAGCAAGAGTTCGTAGCAACCTGGGTTTCGACCCGTTGATCTGCCCCACGTTTTTAAAGGCGAATGACCTGAGCGTTGCCACGAACAGCGTTTTTTCGCTGCAGATCGTTTCGGTTCGGAATTGGGACCCTGGGCTGTTTTTTTGATCTGTTTTTTTTTTTACCTGGTTTACCGGTCTGAACGACCTGGTAGGGCCCTGACCTCTGGTACCAGTTATACGGATTAGTGAGGAATAGTCTAGATGCAGACGTAGGTACTGCCGCAGTGGAAATAGTAACGGGAATAGCAGGTATTAATAGGATGGTTACGAAGACATAATCCCTCCGCACCGTGTGTGTGCACAAGAAGTCAGAGCCGACTGATGGTGGTTTGAGGGATGGTGTGCGCTTAGTTGGTGGGTTCCGCACTGGCGCTTAGCGTTGCGCTTCACGAAGTTGTCACGAGCAATGTTACGGGCGATAATTTTCATTTGCTAATTGCTACTACTACAGTGATTCTATCTGTTGTCTTGGTGTGTCGTGCCCCCGGGCATGACTCTCATGAGTATGAATTTTCTAATGCCATACTTGTCGAGGAGGTGGGATTTTTTTTTTTTTTTTTTCTCTCTCTCTCTCTCTCTCTCTCTCTCTCTCTCTCTCTCTCTCTCTCTCTCTCTCTCTCTCTCTCTCTTGTGTGTTTGCGTTGTCCATGCACGAGGGCAACAAGGTAATGTGAACGACAACTACCAAAAGAGTAAAGAGACGAAGGGTGAAATCCTTCGCAATATGAGGGGAGATTACAAAAGCGGGGGCTGAACTGGATCACTAATTGGGATGGAAAAAGGAAGTTGCAAGCAGCATATGTCATAGAAAAAGACAAAGACCTCGAAAAACGAAGACCCATCGTTTCCACCTTTCTGAACCCTGCAAGAGCGTTGTTTGGATTCCTCAGTAAGTCTTTGTATTTTTTGATGAAAAATAAAAAGACGACAACTTTAACCTACCTACCACGAGTGCCTTGAAATCTAGGATTGAAAAAATTAACCAAAAAAAACAAAGGGAATTCGGGTTGGACGGACGTATCATCCTCGGGACTTATGATACAAAATAAATGTTCACGAAATTAGCACATGGTGAGATATGAGCAGCGGTGGATTGGTTGATTGAGACGTTTCACAAACGAGGTATCCGGTGGCTAAGAATCAAGACAAGGGAGAAGAAGGCTACGTTTGGAAAATCCAATGGGGAAAATGGTTGGAAGTCTATTCGATTATCACAACTCAGATCTATGGTGAACTTCCAACTGAGCCACTTGTTCTTTATGGCTAAGGGAGAAATCTTGAAATAAAAGGTGGGCAGTCCGATGGGGGGAGAGCGAGCCCTGCGCTAGTCTGTGTTCTTTGCATATTTACCGAAACACGCTTCTTGGGATCATTAGGTTATGATAGGAAAGGGATGATCTTTTGTTGGCAACTTGGTATGGTAGGACTCCAGGGAAGGAACAAAAAGCACAAAATAGACTAGAATAGACCTAATCCAGCGGTGCTATCACCAAAATCTCACTCTGGAGAGGATGAACGTGGGCAGTGGGATAATTTCTTTCCTTGAAACTAACTTGATCGTGGCCGATTTCCCAGCCTGGGTGCACATGACCCATCGATTTAAGAATGTAAACGTGATCTATAATGGGGGGAAGAGACACTTCAAGACGAGCAAGGATTATGCATATTTCGGGGACAAGAGTCAGGAGTAGGCAGTCGTGGCTGGTACAATATGGAGAATTGAACGGAATACGAATACAAAGTGGGCAGCCTGGTTGAGCCTGATAACCCTGAGTAAGGAGATTAAAGCCCTGGGTTACCCAAACGAGGCATGCGTGGATGAAGTGTTGAAGGTGGGTAGAAAATCGGGAGGCTATTGGGAGGAACTCGCTTGTCAATTAGGGAAGTGGTACAACTCCGACTGACGAAATTTGGATCTGACTGCTGTCTGACTACCTACGCCAAGTCAGTAAGTGGCAATGAACATGGAATCTGGATCTGACTGTTGTCTGGCTGGCCTACGCCAAGTCAGTAAGGGATAATGGACATATGAGTATAAACATTTTTTTCGGAAACGGGGTTACCTCTCAAACACTGGAAAGTGGCAGTGGCTTGTTCGACACAAGACTTGGTCTCACTGCATCCATGACGTCGACAAAATATGTCGGGGATTTATATTGCTTTTTCTGAATTATTTGATAATTGTTGTTTCTGCTTTTTATCGTTGGGCATAATTGTCGTTTACTCGTTTTTTAACTTTTTGGTTAGGTTTACCGAGTTTTTTATTTTTACCGTTAGGACCTTTTAGAAAGTCAATTTTTGTAGGAGTAAATATAAAGGAATTCTAGTACAGCCTGGAGCTGGATATTGTCAAACTCGTGAAGTAGACTATAGTTCCGAGACAAGCAACAGTATAAAGGCATTGCTATGAGTGCAGGAAACACTTTTTCAACCTGAGTAATGCAAGGGCAGAAGGGTGGAGATCGCTAGTGTTGAATAGCAATGGAGTATTTCATGATGATGGTGCTACGACAGTAAAGCCCTTATCGTCATGATTATACTTGTGTTAATTTTTTTTTTTTTTTTCTCTCTCTCTCTCTCTCTCTCTCTCTCTCTCTCTCTCTCTTTCTCTGGCGTGCGCTATCCACGCACGCACCAGCTTTC